ATCTAGCTTAATTATACCAGAGATCATCTAGCTTTGTTACCTACATATTAATTCAGTCCCCTCCAAAGACAGTGGTTTACCTTCCAGCTTGTCACCACTGCACTATATAGTAGTAACTCAGATCTCTGTATAGTGTTTTCACAGCTTACAAAGTACTTCACTCAGAATACTTGCACTGTGCAAATATTAGAAAACATCAAGTGTTATTTTCTCATAAGTCTTCTCTTCTCCAAGCTAAACATATCCAGTTCCTCCAATGTGACCTATCATGGGCTACAGGCTTTTCACTATTCTAGCTGCCCTCCTCTGAGGAAAAAGATATTACCATTAGTATCTTCATTCAACACCTAAAACCTGCCAACATTCACCTATTGGTCCAATCGACATCAACATCTCAAAAAGTTCATGATAAATATACCTATGCTTGGTGTAGGAAGATGACAATACAACATAGTGAAAAAGATGCTAGATTTGTCCTTAAGAGACCTGGGTTCAAGTCTCAGCCCTGTCATTTGCTAGCTCTGTGACCTTGAGCGAGTCAATTCCTTTGACTCTCATGTTGGTTCTTTGTGTACCGTATGGGAATATTTATACAGTTTGTATGACCTACCCTATAAAATTGTGAGAATCAAATGATGGAATGTCATTTTCATTAAAGACACAAGAATGTATGTGACAGGGAGGGGAAGGGTTAAGCAGCTAAGGAATATTCTATCACTTTACCAAACTCAAAGCCATGTTTAACAGTTCCCTAAACCAAAATAGAATTAGGGAGATAAATACCCTGATGTTGTCAGATAAATAAAATGATGCACCCCAAAGCCAAATAGAGGTGATTTTTTTAACTTTTTGCTGTTAAAACAGGCAGCATGGCACAGATTTGGCCTCAGATGCTTACTAGATGTATGACCCTGGGCAAGTCACTGAACCCTGTTTGCCTCCGTTTCCTCTTCTGTAAAATGATCCAGAGAAGGACATGGCAAACCACTCTGGTATCTTGGCCAAGAAAACCCCAGATTGGGTCTCAAAGAATTGGACAAGACTGAAACAACAGAACGGTACCAGTAACAGGGCAGTAAAGCACGAGTGGTGAAATAACTCGGATAAAACCACCAGGGGGCACTGGTGATCAAGGCTAGCCACGCCACCTGTAATCTACCAGCAGCAGTTTACGTAAGCCAGCAAAAGCGATCCTTCAACCTGCGTGAACTGATGCTGAGCGAAGTGAGCAGAACCAGAACATTGTACACGGCAACAGCAACAGTGTGCAATGATCGACTTGGATAAACTTAAATCTTCTCAGCAACTCAAGGAAATAAGAGAATTCCAAAAGACTCGTGATAGAACATGCTATCCACATCCAGAGTCTGAAGCCAGATTAAAGCATATTACTTTCTCTTTTTTGTTTGCTTGTTTTTTCTTTCTCCTGGTTTTTACCTTTTGTTCTGATTCTTCTTTCACAACATGACTAATGTGGAAATATGTTTGATGTGATCGTACGTGTATGGCCTATCTCAGATTGCTTGCCGTCTTGGGAAGGGGTGAGAAGGAGGAAGGGGAAAAGATTTAGAACTCAAAATCTTATAGAGGTGAATGTTGAAAACTAAAAATAAACAAATAAATAAATAAATAAACAGATAAATAAATAAATAAATAAGCAAATAAATAAATAAATAAATGAATGAATGAATGAATGAATGAATAAATAAATGATTAATCAAAATTTTAAAAAGTGACCCTTTAAATGCAACCGATGAACATTTACAAAAATATGAAACATCCCAACTAGCAGAATGAGAAACAAAATGGATATCCATAGAACATGAAGTGACTGAACACCTTTTTGAATGCAATGAATATAACAAAATATTATTGTGCTGTAAGAAACAACAAAAGGGACTCTGGGGGGGATTTGTATTGAATGATGTATAGTGAAGTAAGCAAAACCGGAAGAATAATTTATACAAATGACCACAGCATTGAGAAGAAAAACAGCTTGAAAGACTTAAGAACTCTGGCTAATGCAATAACCGAATAGGATTCCAGAGGATTAATGATGAATCATGCTTGCCAACTCTTGGCAGAGAGGTGGTGAGCTAGAGGTTCAGAAAGAGACATGCTTTTCCAGTCAGGGACAACACGTGAACCTGTTTTGTTTGACTATACCCACTTGTGACCAGAAAGCTTATTTTATTTCATTTTTTGAAGCTGAGAGAGTTATGGAAGTGATAACGAAGCAAAAATAAATTAATAAAAATAACACAAGGAAGAAAGCAGAAAAGCATTCCAAAAGGGACGGAGGCAAGTAAGGCAGTGTTGAAATTGCTGAGATTTCTACTCTTTCCTCCTCCCCCTCACCAAAACAATAACCACCACCCAACAATGATCAATCTGGCTAATGAGATCCATAATCGATGTGTACTTTTTTTCCTTTTCAAGGGGATCACATTTGAGGGGTGTGGTCTACATTGCAAGCCTACTGTGCGACTGAAAACTTCCCTTTGCATTGTGTCCCTCATTAAAAGGTGAGTTGTCTACGAGCAAAGGACTGTCTTACTTCTCTATTTGTATCCCTAGCATATAGCACGGTGCTTTGCACATAGTAAGATTAATGAAAGCTTTGTTCATTCACTCATTTTTTCATATTGAAGAGTGGTCTCCATTGGGTCCAATATAGTAGTTTAGAAAGCACTGCAGTGCTGTGCCAAAGTGACCAGCAACCAGCATGTGTTGGGCCTTGCTCTCCTTCCCACAGCCTCCATCTTCCAAGAATGGCGTAGCCTGGAGCCCCATCAGAGTAAGAGCCTAGTTCTAGACTTAAGAGAGAGGTTCCATTACTCTCTCTGCCAAGTACTCATATTCTTTTCCCCCAGGACGGAGGTCAACACAAGAGAGGTAGCATGGGGCAGCAGGAAGACCAGAGTTAGATGACCTGGACTCCAGTGGGATAACAACAATAAATATCTATTAAAGCCCTACTGTGCACAGAACACTATACCAAGTTATGGAGGTTATAGAGCTTAAATGAATCACCTGAAGGAGCTCACAACTCAGGAAAGAAATAACGCCAATACAGAGAACTATAACATCCACTGTTAAGGACGTTGTTGAACGGCGTGTCACTTAATCTCTCTTAGTCCATTTCTTCATCTACCGAGTAGGGATAAAAATACCTCCACTAGCTATTCTACAATTGTCTTGAGGATCAAATGGCTAGAATTTGTGTAAAGTTATTTGTCACCTTTATGATGAAAAATGTTATCCAGCCCCAGAGAAAGAATTGATAGTGTCTGAATACAGATTGAAGCAACTTTTTTTACTTTCCTTATTTTTCCAGAGGTTTTTTGTCTATGTTTTCTTTCACAACATGACTATAATGGATATGTTTTGCATGGCTACACATGTATAACCTATATTAAATTGCTTGCCTTTTCAATAATGGGAGGTGAGAAAGGAAGAAGGAAGAGAATTTGGAACTCAAAGTTTTAAAAACAGGGGCAGTTAGGTGGCGCAGCTCCGGCCCTGCCCTGAAGTCAGGGAGGCCTGAGCTCAAATTCAGCCTCAGACACTTGGCACTTACTAGTTGTGTGACCCTGAGCAAGTCACTTAACCCTGATTGCCTCACACACACAAAAAAAATCAAAGTTTTAAAAACAAATGTTAAAAATTGTTTTTACATGTAACTGGGAAAAAATAAAATACTAAATAAAAATTTAAAAAAAAAAATGAGCTCCTTAGTAGGAGACATTGTGTTACTCTTCTATTTGTATCTCCATCTCTTAAAACATTGCTTTGTACAAAGTAAGGGTTTAATAAATATTTGTGTTGAGGGCCGATCTTAAGAGTCTGATATGGGTTTAAGATCCAGGACAGAGTTTGACCTTTGCCCAGGCTTTTACCCAAAGGGCTCAATAATTAAGAAGCACAGCTCTCCAATCTCTCTCTGTTAGGAGGTTCTGAGACATTCCTTCTCACTCTTTGAACCTTAGATTTTACATATTCACTCCTTTATACAGGAGCCAGGAAAAAGCCTTGGAATTTACAACTCTATCTAGGAACTCTGATAAGGAGGAAATGTATGTTATCATATCCTTAGCAGATGTTTCGGGAGTGTCTCACGGGGAGGACTCTTTGAAGTTAGGATGGATTTTCTCTATATATCCTGTACCCTCAGAAAAATAAACTGAGTCAGTTTTTCTGCTCCGCCTGGCCCACTTCATGTCTTATTTCACGCCTTTCCATTCAGTGTACTATCTGGTTGCGGGCAACATATTTGTTCATTCATTCTAAAAAATAAAAAAGCTATTTGTCACCATAAAACCCTATATAAACGTCAGGTAATTTTATTACAGCACATTTGCCCAAAGTGGCACCTTGACTGGTTTTCACTGGCCTTCTGGCTGGTTCTGCCCACCCTCTACACGCATTACAATTCTGCTTCTAAGGAAGGAGAGAGAAGGTAGAGACTGAACCCCTGAACACTAGAGGGGTGACGTATCAAAGATGGGGTATGCCTATTCTAGGAAAGCCATTCTGTCTTAAGTCTAATTTCACCATCCTCTCTCATCCCCACGTGGCTCTGGCAGGTGTGACTGCCACACTGACACCAGTGTGGGAGATGGCTGGAAATCATCACCTGCTCCATGATGGCCCAAAAGCCTCCCCCAAAAAGTTCTACCCCAGGGGCAGCTAGGTGGCACAGTGGATAGAGTACTGGCCTTGGAGTCAGGAGGACCTGAGTTCAAATCCAACCTCAGACACATAACACTTACTAGCTATGTGACCCTGGGCAAGTCACTTAACCCCATTGCCTAGCCCAAAAAAAATTATTAAAAAAAAAAAAGTTCTACCCCAAAAGCCTCACTCCTTTCTGAGGAGCACCCACATTTTAAGTGCATGTGATCCATACCATACCAACTTCTGAAACAGGAAGCCCAAGGTTACAATGGGAGGGTTTTCTCAGTCTGAGGCAGAGCTGTCACTATGGACTTAGGGAAGAGAGTCTAAGCAAACCAGACGACCAGAGATCTTCATCGATGGCTCTTTGAAATGACTGTCATTTAAGCTTTGCCACTTGGGGGTGCCATTAATCTGTAAGTACCTTCTGATAAACTTTTTTTTTTTAAGAGATGATAATTCACTGAGGGTGGGGCTTTGAGCCACAGAGAAAGAGATGTCAGGACCCTGAAAGCAAAGTTTGTTGTGTGGAATTCTCGCTAAGGAAGAGTTGTAGAAAATGTTGACCAGGAAGAGTTCTGGGATAAGAGAGAGAGGACGATTCCTCCTAGAAAAGGATTGGAAGCAAAACACTCATGATGGAAAACACTATCCACATCTAGAGAAACCGTGGAGTCTGAATGCAGACCAAAGCATACTATTTGTGGTTTTTCCCTTTTGTTCTGATTCGTTTTTCACAATGTGACTAATGTGGAAATATGTTTGGTATGATCATACATGTGTAGCCTATATCAGATTGCTTGCCATCTTGGGGAGAGGGAGGGGAAGGAGGGAGGGGAGAAGATTTAGAACCCAAAATCTTGTAAAAGTGAAAGTTGAAAACTAAAAATAAATAAATATTTTTTTAAAAAGAAAAGCATTAGAAGCAATCTGGACACAAGATCTAAACAAAAAATAAAAGGAATTTGTGGGTTTCAAAAAGAAGATTTTTCCTTTTGGATGGATTCCTCCTCTGAAAAGCTTTTGCTAGCAATAAACTCAGACTGCAGAGAATTCCCTTTCCCCTGAAATCTTCGCTTGGTATATCATCCCTAACCTTAATATAATATTGTTTCTAGCCCTACTCCTAATGCTCTCTTTTTGTTGTTATTCAGTGGTGTCTGACTCTTTGTGACCCCATTTGGGGTTTTCTTGGCAAAGATACTGGATTGGTGTGCCATTTCCTTCTCCAGCTCATTTTACAGATGAGGAAACTGAGGCAAACAGGGTTCAGTGACTTGCCCAGGATCACACAGCTAGTCTAAGGCCAGATCTGAACTCATTTGGATGAGTCTTTCTGGCTCCAGGCCCAACACTTTACCCACTTTGCCACAATCCTCCCTCTTGCTGCTCTCTCTAACCCCAACCAAACATGCAGCTAAGTCTCAACTAGTGCAAATAAGGAACATTGTGGCATGGTCACATTCAAATTCCAACAGCATATCTCCATTGGACTAGAACTAGTGATTATATTTTACAGAATTGTAGCAAATAGTTCCCAAAATATAACAAAATGTTTACAATAATTATATTAAAAAATATAACAATCCCAAATAATGAGATTATTTGCATTAATTGAAACCTAGCAGTATTTCCAGAGAAATTCAGAAGGAAGCACAGGCAAGTAGGACAGTCTTGAAAGTAACACATATAGAAAAACCTGGGAAGACTTATATGAGCTGATGCGCAGGGAAGTGAGGAGAACTAAGAGAACCTTGTACATAGCAACAACAGTATTGTAACGATAATCAGCTGTGGAAGATTTAGCTATTCGGATCAATTGATCCACAGTTGCTGATCCACAACAACTCATGAACAGATGGACTCTGAGCGCAAATTGAAGTGCATTTTCTTTCACTTTTTTTCTTGCTCCTCCCTCCCTCCCCCCAACATGGCTAGTGTGGAAATGTTTTGCATGACTATATATATATATATATATATATATATATATATATATATGTATGGGGGGAACAATATATATGTATGTATATATATATATACATATATCTATATGTGACATCATATTTCTTGCCTTCTCAGTAAGTGGGGGAGGGACTGAAGGGAGGGAGAGAATTTGGACCTGAAAACAGAAATTAATTTATAATGTATTTTTTAAAAAGAAAGTAACAGAATTTGTCATATACTTTTTTTTTAAAAAAAACAAGCAGTATAGGGGCCCCTAGGTGGCATAGTGGATAGAGCACTGGCCCTGAAGTCAGGGGGACCTGAGTTCAAATCCAGGCTTAGACTAAACTAAACTTGACATTCACTAGCTGTGTGACCCTGGGCAAGTTACTTAACCCCAATTGCCTAAAAATTTAAAAAAAAAAGCAAGCAGTATGGAATGGAGATTCACAGGTTCTCAGAACTTTCGTTTAGGGTCTGCTATGTATAAGTATAGAGAAGGAGCAGCGAGATGGTGCGGTGGATAAAGCTCTGGGCCTGGAGTCAGAAAGACCTGAGTTCAAATCCAGCCTCAGACACTTACTAGTTGTGTAACCCTGGACAAGTCAGTTAGCCCTGTTTGCCTCAGTTTCCCCATTTGCAAAATGAGCTGGAGAAGGACATAGCAAACCCTTCCAATTTTGCCACAAAAACCCCAAATGGGGTCACAAAGAGTTAGACACCACTTAACAACAATGAAAAGGGAGTATTAGAAGGAGAGCTAGAAACAACATTATATTAGAATTAGGGATGGTACTACAACTGAGTAATAGCAACATTTAAAGAATGAGCCTCTCTAGAGGCAGCCAGGTGATAGAGCACTGAACCTGGAGTTAGGAGAAAACTGAGTTCAAATTTGCGTGAACCTGGGAAAGTCAAACAACTTATGTCTGCCTCAGTTTTCCCCATCTGTAAAATGGGAGTAATAAGAATGCCTGTCTCCCAGAGCTTTTGTAAGCATAAAATTAGACAATATTCATAAACCAGTTTTACATCTTGGTTTTTCTTTTGCTTCTTTCACAGCTAGCAAGTTTCAAGCATCTGGTCTGAGAACAGATTTGAACTCAGGTCCTCCTGACTCCAGGGCTGGTGCTCTATCCACTGCACCACCTAGCTACCCCGAGATGTTTCTTTCCACCTTAACAGGCTTAGGAACTTTTCCCTAAAATTTGCTTAAGTATCCAGTGTAGCAAGTATTGTCTGGATCTCCTTGCTCAGGACCAGGTCATCTACATTGCCCCTCAGGCTTTCAGAGGGTCATTCTGGAGGGGGGAGGTCTCTCCTCTAATGCTTGAACCTCTACCAGCAGTTAGGGGCCGGTGACTAGGATATTTGTTTAAAGATGTAGCAAGAACAAATGTACAAACATTTCCGCCTTACTACTTCCGGAGGCACACTCTTTCCTACACCAATTCTGTCAAACTCAAATAGAGAAGCGATTCTCTAAATGATGCATAATGATCCCTGCATTTGACTTAGAAAACCACATGTTAGCATTATTTATGTTCTTTTGTATTTTTATTTATTTTGTTAAATGTTTTCTAATTACATTTTAATGTGGTTCAAACCTCACCGCTCTGCCCATGAGTTGAACAATCTCCCCTACGCCACCTTGGTCTCTGGGAGAGTAGGCACAAAACAGCTCAGTTCCTGCACAGCACTGGTCCCACCAAGCTCACGTCACAAGGTGGCATTACTACCTGACGACCCTGCATATCAGCTAATGCTGAACTGGAGCTTCCAAGGTCAATACCAAAGCTCCTCAAAACTTCAATGCTATGCTGGTTGCATTCCTGTAGGAACCTGTCTGCCTCAGTTTCCTGGCTTGTTGTGAGGGTAAAATAAGGTCACATTTGTAAAGTACTTTGCAAATCTTAAACGCTGGCTATCAGCAACATCATCATTACATCTTCAGTGGTCAATCAAAGAGCCTCCTTTTCAACACATGGTTAGCCAAGCCAGCTAAAAACAGCCTGGCAAGCAAGCTGCCCAGGTTCTCTCTCCACTTGGAGATGCTGTCTCAAATACTTTATGCATGCACTAGACCCCATTACATCAGGATTTACATTTAAGCCAGTGACCAGACTTGCCCTAAGGCAAATGAGATAATATTTGTAAAATGCTTACTACAGTGCCTGGCACATGGTAGCTTCTTAACAAATGCTTGTTCCCAAGCAACTATGTATAAACAAGATATATAACCACTTATCTCTAGTTTGGTCCCTTACTGTAACTCCAGTGCTACCTGAGCATTGTCGAGGTAACCCCACAGAGAAAGAGTTGTGTTGAGAGGTTTCCTAGGATCGTCACAGAAACCACCCCATAGAAGATGGTTTGCTGTTATTGTTCAGTAATTTCGAATGTGTCCAACTCTTTGTGACCCCATTTGGGGTTTTCTTGGCAAAGACGCCAGAGTGGTTTTCCATTTCCTTCTCCAACTCATTTTACAGATGAAGAAACTGAGGCAAACAGGTTTAAATGATTTGCCCAGGGTCACACAGCTAATACACGTCTCAGGTCAAATCTGAACTCAGAAAGATGAGTCTTCCTGACTCCAGGCCCAGCACCTATCTGCCCCCATGTAAGATGTATTCATCCTGTTTCCAAGTTTGTTAGCTTCCCATTTCTCAGTAGCCCAAACCCTGGGGTTCTGAAAAGAAAGTCTATCCAAAATATGATGGTGGCTTCAAAGGTAATTGGTCTGATCTAAGACCCTGTCTTGGGCACCCCATCTTTCATTCATTCATTCATTCAATATGCAGGCGCTGTACTGTTCACTGTGTGGTGACACAGATATAAAAATGATAGCCTCTGACCTCAAGTTTATCGTGGGAAGCCACTGGTATGCATACAAGTGTAGTGAAGGAACCTGTTGCAGCCTTGCACCCCAGCCACTTCCAAAAGGAAATGTCCCTTGGCCTTTTGATAAAGGGCACATGCAATCAGATGCTTCTGGTTGGTCCCCATGTATTGGAAGGGGGAAAGAATGTATCACAAACTGTTGGCCATTGAGCAGAAAGAGAGTCTTCCACTCCATAGACCTTAAAAGGAGAGACAACTTCGGCTTTCATTGTCTTCTTACTCTCTTCTGAACAGGTGGCTAAGGACTCTGGTAGCTCTCTCTTGGACTTTCCCTGGTGGGAGTAGGAGTTAGGAATGGATTTCTTTTTTCTTTTCTCCATGCCAGCTACGAAAGCTGCTCTTACATGGCACTAATATATATATATATATATATATATATATAATATATATATATATATATATATATATATATATGTTTTTGCTAGGTAAGCTTGAGACTGGGTCTCAAGATCCTAGTCACCTCTAACATTCCTGTTTCTTTCCCTGAGTGCAAGTTATCAAAAAGCAATACTGAACTAGACATTTCCCATCGTGGCAATGATCTTATGAACTCAAGAGGTCTGGAGTCATTGAGATGTCTGGGTCACTGGTAGCAGGATCTGCTTCCTTCAGGTGCTATAACATTTCTCAGAGAAGACGCCCACCTTTAGTGAGTGCTCAGGTAGTTTAAAGCCAAGATGAGTGTGAAATGTCCATTCAGCAGTCCCTCACAGTGTTTCGTGTTTTAATTACCAACCTCCCTAGAAAGTATAAATAGGAAAGATAACTTACTATTTCTTGTTTTATGCACTTTGTCAGTGTGCTTATGAGTCAGTGGTGTTGTAAGCATTTCTTTTGTGATGAAGGAAATAAATAGCTGTCCTATACCTGATTTAATTTGCATACTGAATTCTTTAAACAAACAAACAAAACAAACAAAAAAGACTCTATTAATACCTTTGGGCAAGACTATAGACATGAGAGACAAAAAGAAACTTTAAACTAGTCTATGGAAGCAAGTGCCCCATAATCCTGGGTCAGTAGGCCCATTACATGAATAAATACAAAGTAATGGGGAGGTGGGGGAGGGGAGTACATATAAGCAAATGAGAGGATCAAGAAAGGCCTGTCTAGGAGATATCATTTGAGCTGGACATTGATGGAAACTAGGAATTCAAAGAGAAGATAATGAAAAAGAAGTCTATTCCTGGAATGTCATTTATGAAGAACAGCAAATAAACCAGATTAACTGGAGTATAATTGTGAAGGGGAATAATGTGCAATCGGCCCAGAAAGATGGGCTGTAGCCACACTGGGCCATTGAAGTCATCCCCTGTAAAGGAGACAGGAAGAGAAGGGAAGGCAAAGCATGGGTAAATCCGCACCCTTGAGTTGTGGTTTGTCATGAGATTGGAGGAGATAGAAAAGGGCCAGCTGGATATCTCTCCCAAATCCCCGGAAGCAGAAAAGCCAACGTCACACAAAGGCTCTGGGGAGGGTTCCACGTGGTTTCCCTCCCCTTGACCTTTATGAAGACCTCTCCATGCCCCTTTTCAGAACTTGGACTCTAGCCTGTGCATAAATATAAAACACCAGATGGCTAGGATGACAACCTGGTATTTAACCCCTCCTTGATTCACTGCCTCCCTGCTGTTCTGCCAGTCCCCTAACCTAATTCAACAAGGCTTCAAAAATCAACTTCATAAAGCCTTATACACTCCCCTGCTTGAGGACATATAATGGCCCCCATCACTCTCACTCCAATCCAAACTCCAAGGCAGCACAGAGTAGTAGAGAGGGTAATGAACTTGGAGTCAAAAAGACCTAGATTCAAATGGACAAACAGTTACTAATTGTGTGACTCAGGTTAAGTAATTTAAACTTTCCATTCCTCAGTTTCATCATCTGTAAAAATGATTGATGACCTCTAAGGGCCCTTCTAGTTCTAAAATCTAAGTCTCTTTTACCCAGTGTCATACTAGTCTCTTGGGATGGTCCAGCTGGGTCTTCTTGGACCCTACTTCCCATCCTTTCCCATCTCTCACTCTCCATACCTCCAGCATCTTCTCTTCCTCCCTTCCTTAATTCACACTCCCCAAAATTCATCCTAGTCCTCCTAGGAGTCTAGAGCTCTGTACATCTCCCTTTACTCCCATCCTTGTCTTTCTCTATCTCCATACCTATCCTGAGTATATGTTCTGTCTTCTCCATCAGATGGGGAACTCCATGAAGGCAAGGGTATGTGCCCCCTCCATCTGGATCCTTATTCCCTTAGTACCCAGCACAAGGCACACAGAATGACTCAAAATGGGGAGCTAAAGAAGGGCCACCATCTCATTTCTGAGGGTTTTTTCCACTAAGGAAGAAGGGAGAACTTATCAATTAAATGCAAATTAAAAATTTAGCCTTAATCTTGGTTTGTCTTTGAACAGAAGACAAATGAGTTTACCCGAAAAAGTATCTGTACTTTATTTGTATTTCTAGAGTCACCTGCAATTTTCCCTAACTCTCATCACATGGTTTTTGTCAACTAGTAAGGAGTGATAAGAGCCCTATAAAGAAGGGCCTGGAGGTCTGTGGTCTAAACCCTCAGGCACCATGCTGCGAATCCTGATCTTCGCTGCCCTTGTCTTTTATGGTAAGTCTGACCTGTGTTATGTAGTTAGGCAGGGCCAGAGCTAAACTCTAAGCCTGCTCTTAGGTTCAGAATAAAGTCTGGTCCCTATGCTATGCCCTAATACTTGAAATAGCTTTCCTTTCTTGGGGCCCTACAACGGCAGAGTTTGACGTGTGTAGCCATCATTATAATGGGTCATCACCCATTGATAGATCTTTGAACCTGTCTTTTGAAGATGAGGCTCCCCTATGAGCTCTGAGGGGAATCCCCCTCCATTATTTATGGGAAGTCCATGGGCTAGAGACCTCCTCAGCAAATGATCACAGTTGGGAGTGTAGATTGGTGTACCCCCCAGGAAATTCTGTCAAAGGCATTTGGATGAATCAGGGCCATTCTAGACAGAACTTCCATGTGATTCTAGGTCAGTCAGTCCACAAGTATTTACTAAGCACTTACTATATGCCAGGCACTGAGCAAGTCCCCCAGCTTAGTTTCCCCCTACCCCAACCTTATGTTCCTACCCACACCTCAATATAAAGGATCTTTGAAGTGGTTGAGAGTACTTAAGCTAAAGAGGTCATGGTCTTCCCTTTGCAGTTCAGCTTTATGTAAACCCCAAGGGTTCTAGCAATAATTACAGGATAGGCATGGAATTCATAATTTTCCTATGAACTGAGACTCAATGAAGTTCTCTAGTCTTCTGAGGGTAGGGAAGGTTGAATATCAGACAACCCTGTGTCTATATCCCCTGTAACCCCACATGACATTCCTTAGCCCTCTGTACCCCCTATAGCTAAAAAGTTGCCTACTCATTACTCATCTTTTTCCTTTCTCAAAGGACATGGCTTGGAGGACTTCCCAAATATCAATGCCCGAGTTGTGGGAGGGTCTGATGCCCAAAAAAGTTCCTGGCCTCACCAGGTAGGTGCAACCATGTAGCAATGGCTTTCCTCAAACTCAGGCTTCCCCTCTAAGCCACATACACTTGGAGGCAGAGCTCATATGCCTTGAATTCAAGTTTTGAAGATGCATGGAACCACCAGTTTTTCTAACTGCAGAAAGACTGGATGTTAGGATTTAGAAACACGACACGGACTCATACCCTCCATCCAGAGATATACCACGCTTGGGAACACATGAACGCATCGCATTTGCACTTATAAGAGTGGGTAGGGTATACAAGACAGAGGGTGGAGTAAGAGTCAGGAAGATCTGAGTTTTGAATTCTGCTTTGGACATTTACTTAACTGTGTGACCCTGGGCAAGTCATCTAGCCTCTCTATGACTCAGTTGCTTCATCTGTAAAATGAAGCAGTTGGACCTGATGACTTTTGAGGTCCCTTCCAGCTCTAAATGTAATATCTTATGATCTCCCCATACATCAGATGCACATTATCCAGGCATCGTTTACACACACTTCTAGTCTGTCAACCACCCCATCATAACACAAAATGCACTACAGCATTGGACTAGAAGTCAGAAGAGTTAGGTTTTATTCTTAGATAGTGACTGTATATATGTTATGTTGTGTTATTTTGTCTCACATTTTGTTGTATTATATCTTATATTGCATCATGTGTCATATCATGTTTTATATTGTTATATTCTATCATATCATGTCATATATTATTCATTAGCCTCCCTAAGCTTTAGTTTCCTCTTCTATAAAATGAGGAGGTTGAATTAATTGACCTTTAGGGTCCCTTTCCAGCTTTGACATTCTAGGTTACAATCCATACATACACACCTCTAAACAGACACCTACCCTTTTTGTCTCATCTTCCATGTACATTCCAGCTTATATGTCACACACATATCCTCATCTCTTGCACATGGGCACAATTTGGCTGCTCTGAAGGCATTTTCCCACTTTCATGTCAAGACAGCCATGCTGTAATTTAAGCATATTGGATAAGTGGATGCGTGCTATATGTTGGAAAGCATGATGTCTTTGGTCATGGCCCAGCTTTATGATCATGTACCTCCCAGAGCCTTTTTCCTTATCTGAGAAATGGGGGTGATGACTCACTACCTACTTCATGAGGGGAGCATGACTTTCAAACTTTAAAGGATGAAATGAAATTTCTTATGATTATACCAATTTACCAAATTGATTCATTAAGAAATTACTATACTCATCACAAAAGTATTCACTGCAGGATTCCCTAATCCTTTGTTTCTTCAATTACATTGAGAATCTCACTTTTAAATATTTTATTGATACTCATTTTTAACATCTTTATCACTTCTCAGTGACTTCCCCTTTAGTTATTTAATTACATTGAGAATATAATTTTATTTTTAAAAAGTTTTATTGATGGTCATTTTTTAACATCTTTGTAATTTCCCAGTGACTTCCCCTCCATGACAGAACTGCCTCTTGTAATGAAAAAAGGAAAGTTAAGCCAAGCAAAGCAACATTTCTGACAGTATATACCTCATTCTATGCCCATAGCCCATCACCTGGAACGCTTTACTATATAACTGAAGTTACTATTGCCCACTGTATTGATCTGAGTTGCGATGTCTCTCAATGTTGTTTTCTTTATAATATTGCAGTCATCACATAAATTGTTCTCCAAGTTCTTTTTTTTTTCACTGTTCACCTCACGTAAGTATTCCTAAGTTTCTCAGAGTTATAGTTTGATTTACTAAAAAAATTCTATTTCCTCTCAGATTTTCAGGCCCAGGGTTATTGTTGAATGGTAGGTCTACCCATAGCATTTAGGGTGAAGGTCATAAACTGATGAAGAATATGCAGCTTGGGACTCAGGTTGCAGACACCTAGATCAGTGTTCCCTAAAATCAGAGAAGGGAGTACATCTCCAGGATTTTTTTGAGTGATGGAGAATCCAGAACTTTGAGGCTCTGTACAGCCATTTCATGCCAAATCTCTTCTCAGGCAGAAGAAATTATTATTCCCATGCCAAACAGCCCCATCATATTTTGATTGGGTGGGGGTATGGAACTCAGATGGTGATGAGATAAAGAGGGGAGACAACCAACCACAGTCACTGATTCCTCTTTTCCTTTACCTATTCCTTCCAGATTTCTCTCCAGTACTCAAAGTCGGGGTCATGGTATCACACCTGTGGAGGGACTCTCATTAACCAGAAATGGGTTTTGACAGCAGCTCACTGTGTGGACAGGTAAAAAGAAAGGAGGCACTACTAGTTTCTCTGGGTGCCAACGGAAGTTGGTGTGGGAAAGCCACTGAAGTTCTGGACTTGTCTGAAAGTTCAAATCTTGCCTCAAACACTTTCTCTAGCTATGTAATCCTGAGAAAGTCACTTTCTCTCTCTCTCTCTCTCTCTCTCTCTCTCTCTCTCTCTCTCTCTCTCTCTCTCTCCCTTTCTCTCTTTCTCTCTTTCTCTCTCTGTGTGGGCACATTTCCTCATCTGTAAAATAGGGATAATAATTATACCTACCTCAGAGGATCATGAGGATCAGATGAAATAATATCTGCAGGGTGCTTTGCAGGCCTTGAAGTGTTATATAAATATAAGCTATTATTATTGGTTAGGAGGAAGTGAGGACTGGGTATCCAGCATCTGTGAGTGAGTTCTGTGTGCATTGTCCATCCTCTGGTGTGGCCAGGAGAGGAATATTCAGAACCTGAAGGAAGAATCAGTGACTTTAATGAGGAGATCTACATATCGAAGCCCTTCTAGAGGGGAGCGTGGTGTCCATGGGAAGGGAAGGGTTTGTACTGAAACAAACCCTTTAACAGGATCACATCCACATTCTGATATTATCTTTACAACTCTCCTGTCTAGACTGGTTAGACCACAGACTTGAACTGTTGAAACAGGAGCATACAGTCTGCTGAGGCTGAATTATGTGGGTTAACTTAGCAGGGAGACCGCATGGAGTCAGGAGGACCTGGGAATGAACGGCTGCCTTAAGTATTTCATAGCCTCTCTGAGTCCCAGTGGCAATGCCTCTGAGCTGGGGATAATAATAGAACCTAACCTCCCTGGGGCTGGTGTGAGGAGGAATAGAATACAAGCAAGGATGTAGGACCTTCCAGAAACCTTAAGCACTCAATAAATGTGAATGTTTTCTTTTTTTTCTTTTATTTATTTGTTTTTAGTTTTCAACATTCATTTCTATAAGATTTTAAGTTTTGAATTTTCTCCCCCTCCCTCAACTCTCCCCCTCCAAGATGGTGTGCAATCTGATGTAGGCTATACATGTACAATCATATTAAACATACTTCCACATTAGTCATATTCTGAAAGAAGAATTAGAACCAAAGGGGAAAATCATGAGAAAGAAAACACAAAAAAGAGGAAAGAGTGAGAAAATAGTATGCCTCGATCTGCATTCGGACTCCACAGTTCTTTCTCTGGATGTGAATAGCAGATAAATGTGAATTGTTATTGTTCCTGAGTATGAAACAAATACCTTGGGGGCAGCTAGGTGGTTCAGTGGATAAAGTTCCAGCCTTGGAGTCAGCAGAATCTCAGTTGAAATCTGACCTCAGACACTATGCCACTAGCTGTGTGACCCTGGGCAAGTCACTTAATTCCAATTGCCTCACCAAAAGAAAATAAACAAATACCTTTTCAATTATTTTCATACCAAAGGAGATTTGACACAGTAGATAGAATGAGGGACCTGAGCTGTGATAAGTCCCCCATGGCTTCCTTTTCCTCCTCCAGCAACCTGAACTTCCGAGTCGTAGTAGGAGATTACAACCTGTCCAAGAACGATGGCACCGAACAGTATGTGAGCATCAGCAAAATTGTCCAACATGAGAAATGGAACAGCAACGATGTGTCTAAGGGGTAAGTGATAGTCAATGACTCCTCTGACTGCGGTGTGTATATGGGAGTGGGGGGATGTGTATTGACCCTTGTCGTTGATATGTTTTCCTTGGAGGTCAAGAAATAACTGAGACCTGAGTCTTTAATCCTGCGCCCCATGGTCTGGCCTGCTCTGGGCAAGGTACCCTGTGGACCCAGAAGGAACCGAGACTCTTACTTACTCATGAGATTAGACCCAGAAGGAATTGTAGAGATTATTTAATCCAGCTTCTTTTTAGAGTTGAAGTAACTGGGACCCAAAGAAGTTATGTGACTTGACCGAGGTCACGTAACCAATTGTTAAAATTTCAGTGTGAGCATTTGTTGTTGCTCAATCATTTCAATTGTGTCTGCCTCTTTGTGACCCCATTGAGGGTTTTCTTGACAAAGATGCTGGAATGGTTTGCCATTTCCTTCTCCAGATCATTTTTGAGATGAGGAAACTGAGGCAAACAGAGTTTAATGACTTGCTAGTGTCTCAGGCTGGATTTGAATTCAGGTCTTCCTGACTCAAGGGCCAGTACTCTACCCATTATGCCACCTAGCTGCCCTAAGCAGCTACAAGGTGAGCATTTGCACCTTGGAAATTGGCAAATACTAAGATGACCATTGATTATTTTGTTTGTTGTCTAGACTTAAGAAAATGATGGAGAAAATGTTTATGATGTAGATTAGATTTAAAAGTGCGTCCTGCCTTTTAGACGTACTGGTTGTTAAACATTTACTAGCCTGTTCCTGACAAGTTTGTATAACAAATGCTCAGAGGCAGAAGAGGGCCAAGCGCTTCCTAAATGGACAGAGTCCATCTTTGGCATGTGAATGATCCGTCTCCCTTCTGCCCACAGCTATGACATTGCCCTGCTCCGTCTGAGCAGCAGCGTCACCCTCAACAGCTATGTCCAGCTGGGCACCCTGCCCCCATCCGGTCAGATCCTGCCCAATGACAACACCTGTTATATCACAGGCTGGGGCTTGACCAAGAGTAAGTAACTGAACCTGTCATCCACCCGGAAAGCTTCGATGAACCATTTCTCTTTACTGATCATGTAGCATACAAATAGTCTATGCTCTCAAGGAGGCTCATTACATGTGACACTCATCAATACACAGAGATGTAGTAAGGACACACAAACTAAGACCAGAATGGCCTATCAGGTACTTACTTACATCCTTGAATCAGTCATAGAACTTTGGAACTAAAAGGAATGTTAGGCATCTAGGGGATCTAACCCCTTTACTGTGCACATGAGAAAATGAGGCCTGCTGGAGGTAAAGTGACTTATCCACGGTCACACATCTAACTAGTAGCAGAGCCAAGATTAGAACTCTTTGATTTGGAGTCCAGTGCCCTTACCATTAGCTCCACTGTTGCCATAGAAAGGATGGGTAGAGTAGTTATACCGTTGGAATATGGGTATGAGTGGATGGGCTGGGGCAATTCCAGGTTCACATGAGAAAAGATCAAGAAAGACTATCAGCTTTTCTCAGATAACTTCAGAAGACTTCCCAGAGGTAAAGGGCTTTAAATAACTCTTAAGTGATTGATGACAGGATCACAGCCTGTCTGGTTAGAAGGGTGTTCCAGGTATATGGCACAGCATGGTCAAAGGTTCAGAGGCAGAAGAGGGACAAGTACTATTATAAATGTGAGTTATAGGAATTCAAAGTTATATCATATTAATTAATAGATTAATCAGGGATAGGGGTCAAGAATAGATAGTCTCTGGCTTTGGGGGAGTTTACAGTACAATGAGAGAAAGAGGAAAGATAGATATGATATCAACATATATAAACGTAGTAATTTCTAAAAACACATTGAAGGAAAAGAGGCTGGGAGGTTTGCAGGAGAACGATCTGTAGAGGGGTCACTGGGGGCTGGCAATCTGAGGATGTAGCCATGCTTCACATGTGAAGATGACTCAGGACTCAGGCCACTAGCTCATCCCTTGTGCTTTTTGTGTCCCATGTAGCCAATGGACAGCTGGCTGACAATCTACAGGAGGCCTACCTGCCAGTGGTGGACTATGACACCTGCTCCAGCAGGTCCTACTGGGGATCCACCGTCAAAAACACCATGGTGTGCGCAGGAGGAGACGGCTTGAAGGCTGGATGCCAGGTAGGAAAACAAACGTCACCCCGCTTCAAAGCTGGGAGAGCAAGGAAGTTGGGGGATTGGTTCCCCCATCTTCATCCTCCTCTTCTGTTTCACTGCCCCCTTCTCTCACTCCCTTTCCTTCATTCTCTCCCAAATCAAACCCAGCAACAGACCCATTTTCTCTCATCCACTCAACGAACTAGGAACACTCATACACCCATCTCTCTCATCTGTCTCTGTTCATCTTTGCAAACATATATGGGCACACATATGTATCTGTTTGTATGTGTGTTATTCTTCTTTAATGACTTTGTGCGTGGGGCTCTGGAGCAGGACAGGACAAGGAGGGGCAGTATATGTGATTATCACCAATCAGTGCTCCCAGGCAGAATATCCCCTGCTTAGATTTCAATTGTTGTTTTACACACACACATACACACACACACACACACACACACACACACACACACACACTCACTCACTCACAAGAGGCCAGGACTGATATACTTGGTTCTAACTTAACTTGGCTCCCTTATCATTGGCCCTCCCTGGTTTACCCTCAGATAGGCCAGCTCCTTCTAGAATCCAATCTTGTGGGTCACTATCCTTTCTTACTAATCTCCCTTACTTAGTCTAAGGCTATGAAGAAATCAAATCCTGGGATTTAGGCTTCACCTGTCTCAGTCAGTCAGCTTTCCAGAAATTTCAGCTCCTTCTTGGAGACCTTTGCATTTGGCTCGAAGGTTTTACCTGTACCACTTTGTAAACTTCCTACATCACTGAATCCCAGTGGGAAGCACTGGACTTTCCTGGTCCCTGAACTTGTATGGCTCTCTAGATGCAAAGATAGACCAGATTCAATGCCACTTGTGCCAATAAAGCTATTATAGATTAATGCTCAGTTCTGACCACCACTCCTTCTTAACCCTGCTTGCTAATCATTTATTCCAGATCGTAAGAGCATGTTTTTAAGGTTTATTTACAGGAAAAAAAAGAGATACAGATTCAGAAGTAATACAGCAGAGTAGGGTAATTAGATGTGTGAATAAAAGAAAAACTACCTAGTTCCAAACTGGATGGCACTTAAAAGACAATGTATTCTGATAACCCATAGTTAATCCCCTAAGGACAGTTTAGCCCAAGATTCCCTCTAGTCTAGAAACACCATCCAGCTACCTGGGAGCCACAGAAAGAGAATAACTGCTTCTGTCTTAGAAAGCCCCCATATCTATTGGGGATTTCTGAGCTTGGAATCCAAGTTCATCTTGAATCCAGATCATTGGTCCAGTCTCTAATATACTCTAATTCACTTTTCAGCCAATCAGGATGTCTCTTGATCCTATGGCTGCTTCTGGAACATTCTCCCCATAGTCCTACCTACTCAGTAGTTACTGAATTTCCATCTTCCATTCCTCCCCTTCAAGAGAGACAGGGAAACATCTAGAAAGTATTAATATTTCTATCACCTCAAAATTGGAAGAATTCAGTCCTATATGTAGGGTCACTCCCTGGTAAAGTTCACAAAAGATAATCCCTTTATTTATAAATTAAATTCAGACATCACATATCTACTGAATGCAAGGAATTGTGACAGGCTCCGGATATACAAAAACAAAAACAGTTGACTTTTTTCATAGTATTTTGACAGCCACAATTTCATTACCAACATTACCTCATTTCATCTTGATTATAACAGGATGAAGTAAGTTCTATCTTGAGGTATAATTATTTCTCTCCATCTCTCAGATAAAGGAACCAGTGGTTGAAAAAAGCACTAAGAAGCAAACACAGCCAGAAAGATGGGATTCAACCCGTTCTGTCCTGGTTCCTAGCCCAGCATTCTCCATTACACACCATGCCTCTCAAACTTACAATATTGTACACAATTAACTCTAACACAAAGTAATGCACAATGGATGTGAGTATTAGCCGTATTATATGTAGCATTAGGAGAGAAAGGCCATTACTGAGGGAATGGATTAGGGAAAACATGAAGGAGATGACCCTTAAATAAAGCTGAAAGCTTGTTTCCTTGGTCTCAGGAGAAGCAACATGCTTTTCTTCCTGTGCCTCTCCTAAAACTCTGACTCATTAATGCCTTCTCTGGTAAAATTCCTTGAATTAGCTTCTCCATGCTAGAGTAAAAGAAGCCGTCAAGTAATTATGTGATTAGATAGAAATTATAGGCTCTATCGTATAATTCATATAATAGAAATTCATGTAATGTGAATTGTATGATAGAAAGAGAAGATGGGCTAGTCATGCAGAAAGGCAGATGACAGATGGACAGCTAGAGAAATTAAGACAAACCTCTAGCACTAGGTGAATCTCCTGCGGAGAATTTTGGGAGGACATAGACAAGAGATTCGTAGGATGAGCAGGTAGGGTGGATTGTGAGCCTCCTCTTTGGAGGAAATACTCAAATCCATGAGGTCACAGATCCATTGGGAGTATTCTGGTGCATTAGTCTTTCTTGTCCCTGTCCCTCCAACTATCTCTAGCTTTTTCCTGAATTTAATGCTTCTCTTTGTTCCCATTATCCTTCATTCTTCAGACTCTTCTCTTCTTTTCCAAATAGACCACATTCTTTCTAAAGAAGTTCTCTGGCCAGCTCTCCTTTCAGCCATAACAGAGTGGGGAAAGCACATCTATAAGAGAAATGAACCTTCTTCTCTTTGCCCAGTGCTACTTCCTCAGTCTCCAGTGCTGAAGCCCTCCCCCAACATATATTTTATGAATAAGGCTGATAGTTGGCTGGCAAACCCCCAAAATGAATTTGGGAAATGGATTTTTTTTTACTGGAGATGTAATGATATGATAAAAAAAAAAACTAGTCCTGAAGTTAAGAGAAATCTGCTTTCAAATGTCAACTCTGATACTTACAAACTGTGAGACTTTAAGTACTCCTTGAATCCCAATTTCCTCACATGTAAAATGGGGCTAATAGCACGAAACTACCCATCATATCTTAAAGTCTATACAAATATATTAGCTACTATTATTGTTGTTACTACAGTGATCAAAAGGTTTGTCAAGAAGCAAATGAGTATGGGGCAGCTAGGTGGTACAGTGATAAAGCACTAGCCCTGGAGTTAGGAGGACTTGAGTTCAAATCTGGCCTCAGACACTTCACACTTACTAGCTGTGTGACCCTGGGCAAGTCAACTTAACCTCATCGCCTAGCGGGGGAAAAAAACAAATAAGCTTAGGTGACTCTGTTTCATCTTTCAAAGCAGAGATTTTTAGCCTTTTTGTGTGTGTCATAGATCCCTTTGGAGGTCTGTTCAAGTCTATGGACCCCTTCTCAGAATCATATCCTTAAATACATAAAATAAAACATATAAGATTGCAAAAGAAAGCAATTCTAGTGAAAATAAAGACTTAATTTTTTTACTATCCAAATTCACAGACCACCCTGAAATCTATCCATAGTCCATGGACCCCAGCTTAAGAAACCCTGTTTTGAAGAGTTGCCCATAATTTAAACATATGAGGAATCATTCCAAGTTTTTGGATACTAGTCATTTGTCTCCTTTTCTTTTATTAAATTTTTTTCAATCAACAAACATCTATTTTCTCTCCTTTCCACTTCCTCCTACTATTGAGGAGAAAAACATAACTCTCGCAATAAACATGCAAAAACAAATTCTGGGTTGTTTATGTCTAAAAATGTATGCCTCATGCAGCATCCTGAGTCTAGCACATCTTTATCAGGAGGTAGGCAGCATATTTCATCAACTAGCCCTCTGGAATCATGTCTGGTCATTGTATTGATCAGAGAAATCTTTCATATTTATCCCCACTTTCAAAAAACACAGAAACAGAAATAAGAAGTCCTTGCCTTCTCTCTCCTAGGATGTATCAGGGAACTCCCAGATTGCCAGAACCTTCCCTACCCTACCAGGATAGGCATCAGTTTCTCCAAGAGATAGGAAAGTAGAGACAAGAAGAGAGATTATGCCACTGAATTGGGACAGCAGGGGACACAAAACCTTCAGGAATGATGACCCTACTCCCAGCCCAGCCTCCTTTTCTTGTATGTCAACCTTCCTGGAATTTGAATAGCTTTGTTGGCATTGAGCAAACTAGTCAAAAGGTCCTTTGCAGAATCTAAGAGCTGGATCTTTGATGTGTCCTTCCTGGCTTCTGGAATCTCCAAGCCTACTCCTAAGATGTGTCTCTCTTTTCTATAGGGAGATTCTGGGGGTCCTCTTAACTGCCTGGTTAATGGAGAGTATGTTGTCCATGGAATTACCAGCTTTGTGTCCAGCCTGGGCTGTAACGTTGCCAAGAAGCCCACCGTCTTCACCAGAGTCTCCAATTACATCTCTTGGATCGATGAGGTAAGTCAGCCCAGTTGTTGGGCATAAACAGTATAGGTGCACTATACAATCATGGACTAGGAGAATGGGTAGAATAGGAAAGAAAAGGGGGGGTGGGAGCAGTGAAGCTAGTACTATCCCCTCCCCACACATATACTCCTTGGCTGTCATTTCATATAGCCAGGTATAATTTTCCTCACCCTGATCATTAAGGAGGGAGACACTGTGGTATGCTGGGAAAACTTTGACTTTGGAGTCAGAAGAAAACCTGGGTTCAACTCTTGGGTCAGCTACTAGCTATCTACCTGATCTTGGCAAATCACTTCTCTCTGGGTCTCAAATGCCTCATCAGTAAATGAACCAGGTAGACTAGCTGGCCTCTGATAACACCTGTAAGTCTGTTTCAAGTGGATGTCAGGAGAGGAACAGAGCCAGTGTGGTCTGTAGGAAGACTGGGCATTTCCCTGGACAAGAAGAGGAAATGCTTCTTCAATAGGTGCCAGGTCATCTAACAGAAGGGAGTTTCTACTTGGAAGGGAGGCTGTCTCCCCTCTGATGATGCACTGGTGGGACAAGTCCATTGGGCTAATCCATAGGAATCCAAGAGTGCTCTCTTCACCTCTTACATAGTTGATAGGACATGGCAAGAGCTCCACAGTTGGCCAAATTCTATTCTTGTTTCTCTGTGGCCTGAGAGTATACTCCATCTTCTTCATTAAACTGGGTATTTCCCAAGGCAAAAGACTCTATATTCTCCTGCCTTTACATTTCTTCTCTTCCCTCATTCCTCACTCAAGGACTCAAAAGAAGACTAAAGGAACAACGCTGAGTCCAATTTTCTTTTTTTCAGGTTATTGCTAAATATTGAATGTTTCTCTGAGACCAAAGGGTGAAGGCCCTCAGCTCCTCCGCAGGAGTTAAAATCATGGAGAAAGTTCAGGATGAGGAGACATTGAGACAAATGCAGACATTGTATACCAAATAAAATCAAATTAGCAAAATATTGAATGTCTTATGCCTCCTTTCATCTAGAATTAAACCAACTTAAGGAAATTCAGTTAGCCATTATCCAAGCATAGTTTAGCCAACTTACTTAAGTGTTAAGTGCTTAGCACAGTGCCTGGAACATAGCAGGTGCTTAATAAATGTTAATGGAGTGATCAAATGTTGGTCTTGGTGTCAAGGATGAGTTTGAATCCTGCCTCAGACACTTACCAGCTGTGTCACATAGCTAGTAAAAGTAAATGCTGCAACTCTACCCAGATATTCTGATCCTGAGGAATTCAGTACAACAAAGATTTATGAAGCATCTCTTACATACAAGGCACCATCGTAGGTGTTGGGGATACAAAAACAAATGGAACAAAAATGGTCCCTGCCATGAGGACATTTGCTGTCCACTAGGGGTAATATAACCAACTCATAAATTAGTATAATACAAATCAAATGAGTATGATACAAGATAAATTGAGGAAGGAAAAAAACAATAGGGAGGAGGCCAGGGAAGTCTTTATGGAAGACTTCTGTCTTGACAATTGCCATGAGGGAGATATGAGAAGAAGCATATTTAAGCATGAATCATAGATCTTCAGCCGGAAACAACCTCAGAGGACATCTAGTTCAACCCTTTCGTGGTAGGATTGAGGAAACTGAGCCCCAGGGAAATTAAGTGACTTGTCTGTGGTTGCACAGGTAGTAGAAAAGTAGGCATCAGTTTCCAGCTGGAAAGTAGTTTGTGAAAAGGAGTATTGTGAAATGAAGCTGGAAAGTGAGGTAGGAATCTGATTGTGGAGTGGCTTGAATGCCAGGCAATACATCTGAGGCCCAGGTGAAATTAAATGAAATTAATTTCACAGTTACAAAATCTCAGAATTAGAAGAGATCTCATACGTCATCTAGTCTAACCCACATCTGTACAAGAATTCCCCCTACAAATACGTACTTCAGCAATCAATCAGTAAACATTTATTAAGCCTGTACTATGTGCCAGGCACTGTGCTAAGTGCTGGAGATACAAAAAGAGACAAAAGATAGTCTCTGCCCTCAAGAAGCTTACAGTCCAATGGAGGAGACAAATACATACAAAACAAGCTATACACAGGATAAATAGGCAGCAATTAACAGAGCGAAGGTACTAGGATTAAGGGGGGTTGGGGAGATTTCCAGTAAAAGAAGGTCCATATAGTTCTTTGTTTTTCTTTATGGCCACATAGTTTTTTCTTAAACATCTCCAGCTAGGGCCAACCCAGAACCTCCTCAGGCAGTTCGTTTAATTTGGGAATAGATGTAATCATTAATACGTTATTTCTTGAGTAACATTGTTTTGCCCTTGCCAAGGTGATCAGGGTGCTGGAACAGAATACTACCTACCGGCTCAAGCATAAATCTTGACCAAGATTTCTTCCTTCTGAGTCTTACCAAATTCTTTTTATGATACAAATACGGTGTTGATTCCTAAACCAGGAAGAATCAAAATAGAGAAAGAAAATTATAGACCAATTTCTCTAATGAATATAGATGCAAAAATTTTAAACAAAATATTAGCAAGTAGACTGCAGCAACTTATCACAAGAATAACACACTATGGCCAGTAGGATTTATACCAGGAATGCAGGGTTGGTTCAATATTAGGAAAACTATCAGCATCATTGAGCATATCAACAACAAAACCAACATAAACCACATGATCATCTCAATAGATGCAGAAAAAGCTTTTGATAAAATACAACACCCATTCCTATTAAAAACACTAGAAAGCATAAGTATAAATGGAGTCTTCCTTAAAATAATAAATAGCATATATTTAAAACCTTCAGCAAGCATTATATGTAATGGGGACAGGTTAGAAGCATTTCCAATAAGATCGGGGGTGAAACAAGGATGTCCATTATCACCACTGTTATTCAATATTGTACTGGAAAGTTTAGCTTTAGCAATAAGAGAAGAAAAAGAAATTGAAGGCATTAGAATAGGCAAAGAAGAAACAAAGCTATCACTCTTTGCAGATGACATGATGATATACTTAGAGAATCCTAGAAAATCAAGTAAAAAACTACTTGAAATAATAAACAACTTTAGCAAAGTTGCAGGCTATAAAATAAACCCACATAAATCATCAGCATTTCTATATATTACCAACAAAGCCCAACAGCAAGAGATAGAAAGAGAAATCCCATTTAAACTTACTGTAGACATTATAAAATATTTAGGAGTCTACCTCCCGAAACAAACCCAGGAACTCTATGAACACAATTACAAAACACTTTTCACACAAATAAAATCAGATCTAAATAATTGGAAAAACATCAGTTGCTCATGGGTAGGCTGAGCTAATATAATAAAAATGACAATCCTACCTAAGCTAATTTACTTATTCAGTGCCATACCAATCAAACTACCAAAAATTATTTTATAGTTAGAAAAAATAATAACAAGATTCATTTGGAAAACAAAAGGTCCAGAATATCAAAGGAACTAATGAAAAGAAATGCAGGGAAGGTGGCCTAGCAATTCCAGATCTTAAATTGTATTATAAAGCAGCAATCATCAAAACTGCTTGGTACTGGCTAAGAAATAGGGAGGTGGATCAGTGGAATAGGTTAAATATGCAAGACACAGTAGTCAATGACTATAGTAATCTATTATTTGATAAACCCAAAGACCCCAGCTTCTGGGATAAGAACTCACTCTTTGAAAAAAACTGTTGGGAAAACTGGAAAAGAGTATGGCAGAAACTAGGCAAAGACCCAAATCTCACACCATATACCAAAATAAAGTCAAAATGGGTTCAGGACTTAGATATAAAGGCTGATACCATAAGTAAACTGGGAGAACAAGGAATAGTTTACCTATCAGATCTATGGAGAACAGAAGAATTCATGACCAAACAGGAGATAGAGAACATTATGAAAAGCAAAATGGATATTTTGATTACATTAAATTGAAAAGTTTTTGCACAAACAAAGCCAATGCAACTAAGATTAGAAGGAAGGTAGAAAATTGGGAAAGAATTTTTACAACCAGTCTCTCTGATAAAGGCCTCATTTCTAAAATATATAGAGAATTAAGACAAATTTATAAGAACACAAGCCATTCCCCAATTGATAAATGGTCAAAGGATATGAACAGACAGTTCTCAGATGAAGAAATTAAAGCCATCTATAGTCATATGAAAAAATGCTCTAAATCATTACTGATTAGAGAAATGAAAATCAAAACAACTCTGAGGTACCACATCACACCTATCAGATTGGCCAACATGACAAAACAGGAAAATGATAAATGTTGGAGAGGATGTGGGAAAATTGGAACGCTAATACATTGTTGGTGGAGTTGTGAAATGATCCAACCATTTTGGAGAACAATTTGGAACTATGCCCCAAAGGGCTACAAAAATGTGCATACCCTTTGATCCAGCAATAGCACTTCTAGGGCTATATCCCAAAGAGATCAAACAAATGGGAAGAGGACCCACATGTACAAAAATATTCATAGCAGCTCTTTTTGTGGTGGCAAAGAATTGGAAATTGAGAGGATGCCCATCAATTGGGGAATGGCTGAGCAAGTTGTGGTATATGAATGTAATGGAACACTATTGTGCTATAAGAAATGATGAACAGGCTGACTTCAGAAAAACCTGGAAAGACTTATATGGTCTGATGCTGAGTGAAGTGAGCAGAACCAAGAGAACTTTGTACACAATAACAGCCACGTTATGCAATGACTAAGTTTGTTAAACTGAACCCTTCTCAGCATTACGAGGATCTAAGACATCTCCAGAGGCCTCAGGATGGAAAATGCTGTCCACATTCAAAGAAAGAACTATGGAAGTCGAATCACTGTCACTTATTTTTACCTTCTGTTGAGTTTTGTTTCGTCTTTCTGATGGTTCCTCCTGTTGGTTTTAATTTTTACTTACAACTTCACTAATGTGAAAATATGTTTAATGGCTATGTAAATGTAAAGCCTATATCAGATTGTGCGCTGTCTTGGGGAGGGTGGGGGGGAAAAGGGAGAAAAATTTTCAACTCAAAAGCATATGGAAAAAATAAAAATAAATAAAAAATAGAAGGAAAAAAAGATTTCTTCCTTCTTCCATCCATCCCCTTCAGAGTTGCCCTGACTGGACCAACAAAGCCAGACTTTGACTCACAAGTTAGCCCATCCCACTCTACGAAAGTGGGGCAGGCAGAACCCAAAAGAGTATGAATGGAGGTGTGGCTTGGGAGGGGCTCCTACAATCAGTGGAGTGGGAGACTTGGGAGATTAGAAGCCGTGAAAAGCAGGAGCAAAAGAAATAGAAAGAGCAAGAATGAAACAGCTAAAACTAAATACTGCAGAACTGTAATGATGAAGCTTAGTTTCAAAGAAGACATATGGGAAAGTATCTCCCCTGGTTCTTCACAAAGCCGTGGGGGACTGTGGGTATGGAACATTTCATCCTCTGTCAAGATTTTCTGGTAAGTTGGTTAGTTTTGCTGAACCATCTTTTTTTTCTTCTTTTTTAAATGGATACTCTCTGCAATGGGTAAGAGAAAGAGATACACGGTGGCATGGAGGGGATATAAAAACAAAGGTATTAATAAATTTATTTAAGAAATACAAATTTTAAAGGTTTGCTTTGTCTTTCTTTTTTTCTTTTTTAAGTATGATCAATGTGGTTAATCCTGGCATTACTAATCTGTATGTGTCCTTGCAAAATGCAGGGGGAAAGGAGGAAGCAGTGGTGTCCCAGGAGGAGAGAGAAATTCATTTTACAACTGAGGTATATAGTGTGCCAGAGAAATTCTCTGTTTGGGGGCTTGAGCCACAGAAAGAGAATTATTCATTCACTACTTATTGCCTTCCAGAATAGGGAAAGACATTTGGACTTAGGCCTTTCTAGGTAAATGTGTCAGCAGCTTTGGCTGTAGGAAGCTATGAGAACTCAGGCTTGGAAGAGAGGGTGGGCTCATTTCCCCTACTGTTATCTTCTCCATTTAGATTTGAAAGTAAAACCGCTCTCCAGAAGAAAGGAGCCGAGGAAGAAGCCAGAGAGAAAGTGGTTGCCTAAGGACAAGAGCTGAAGGAATCACTGAGAAGGAATAATCTGACCCACTGGAGACTGCAGGGGGTGGCATTTGAGAGGAACCACTGACTTTTTACTAGCCGAACATCGTGCAGCACCACACTATTGCTATATTTATTTCTAGGAACTTCTGGAGCAACTCAGTTCCTTTTGATAGCCACTCTCATATTTAGTCTTTTACTCTGTCCTATCAATAATAGCTAAGACAGAGTAAGCAAATCGATAACATGATAACAGCTAACATTTATATAGCATTTTAAGGTTTGCAAAACGTTGTACAAAGGTTGTCTCTTCTGATCCCCACAGCAACCCTTGAGGTAGGTACTATTATTATCCTTGTTTTACAGATGAGGAAACTGAAAGAGATTAAGTAAATGTTTGTGGCAGGATTTGAACTCAAGTCTTCTTGATATCAAGTCCATTGCTCTTACCCTCTGCAATGCCTAGATGCCTCCTCTGTTCTCCCTTTCCAAATTCCTTTTAAAGCCCAGGCCAGAGGATTTTGCCTAAAGAGTAAAAAATGGCTATCAGTCTGTCAACCATCCTTAATGACATTGGGTCAGTAAGCACCCTGGGCAGAGAGCCTCTACATTCCATCCAAGGCAAAGGCCTCATCCTGTCATCTTATTAACTCGATTTACAAGGTGTCATCCTTGACTAAACTCTTCCTGGGGATTTCCTATGCCTAATATGTATGTGTCCTCCCGTGCTCAGAGGCTACACCAGCAGGACAAAAGCTTTCGTTAAGTCCTATCCCTTCATGCCTCTGCATTGGTTGCACCCCTCACCTTTATTCCTTACCTTTCCCTCTTAGATCCTTAGCTTCTTTCAAGGCTCAGTGCAAGTTTCACCTTCTCCTTGAAGCTGGAAATCTGGGAAAGCTTCAAGTATCAGTGAGATGACAGCTGTACTTTTCTCGTCTGAAGTCCAACCTAGCTAATTTTGGAAAGACTCATCACTAGACAGCAATCAATCAATCAATTAATAATCAACATTTATTAAGCACTTACTATGTGCTGGGCAATATGCAAAATGCTGGGGATACAAAAAGAGGCAAAAGACAGTATAGTCCCTGCCCTCAAGGAGCTATTCCTCACTCACCACACTCCATTTTCCATCTCCAGACCTATGCCCTAGCTTGGGGTAGGGGTGGGGGCAATCCCCATCCCCAATGTGCAGAATACTCTCCTTCATCTCCATCTCTTGATTTCTTTGGCTTCCTTCAAGATTCATCTTAAATCCCACCTTTATGTAGGAGGATCGCTTGGTCTTCCTAGCTGCTGGATCCTTTCCCTCTGAGATTACCCTCCAATCTACATTTTATATGCAGCTAGGTGGTGCACCAGATAGAGTGCCTAGCCTAGAGTTAGGAAAGCCTGAGTTCAAAACTGACCTCAGACACTTACTAACTGTGTGTCTCTGGACAAGTCACTTAACCCCTCTTTTCATCAGTTTCTTTATCTGTAAAATGGAGATAATAATAGTACCTACCTCCCAGGGTTGTTGTGAGGAACAAACGAGATAATAATTATAAAGTGCTTAACGCCGGACACGTTGTAAGTGCCATAATAACGTTAGTTATTACTATAATTAGTTACATGTTGCGTCCCCCATTAGGATGTGAACTTGTTAACTGTCTTTTGCCTTTCTTTGTATCCACAGCACTTAGCACAGCATCTGGCCAATGGTAAAAGCTTGTTGATTAACTGATTGGCTCACCATTGGTGAAGGGAAGATTTGTCATGATAAAATTACAGAACAGAGCCAAAAGTACAATGCCGAAATACTCATTAAGTTGATATCCAATGAGTATTCATTGAATATCTAGCATGGGTGTGTGATGAATTGGAATCAGAATATAACTGGGCATACTGATTCATGATAGCAAACAGAGGGGAAAAGAAAAGAGAGAAGAGATGAGGAGAAAGAGAAGAAAGGAGGAGAGAAGACAAGCGAGAGGAGGAAGAAAATGGAAGAATTAGGAAAGAAAGGAAAGATGGACAAAAGAGATAAAGGGGGAGAGTGGAAAGAAGTAGTGGGATGCAGAAAGGTAGAAAATGTTGAGAGGAACCAGCCTGAGTGAAGAAAGCAAAAAATTAAGAGCCAGTCCAGAGAAGAAAATAAAGGAAGAAGTCGGGGGGGGGGGTAGGTGGGGTAGGAGGGAATGGGGAGGATTGGAGAGAGGTAGTCAAAAATAGAGGACCACAAACTAGATATAAATCAGCACAATGGGACTAGAACTAAAATAGGTAACAGGATATTGACACTATGAATGAGAGGATAAGATAACCTTCCATCATCAGTTCCCAGCAGCCCTTTGGAAGGTCAGTGGGTTCCATTTTGAACCAACCACAGAAGGGCAACATGGAAAACTTGAAGATGAGATAATTCATCAGGAGAAGAGAAGGCTGAAGGGAGAATGAAAATGGAGGATGATATCAGGTAGTCATGAGATGTAAGGAAAAAGAATCTACTCACAGCCATTTGGGCTCTTACAATTGCGCTCTCCAATGTCTGCTGAAGAGGTTGATTTTCTCCTTGACAGGGTCAACCTAACAAGCAAATGACCAAAAAAACAAGGTCAACCTTCATATATATATATATATTATTATATATTATTATATATATATATATACACACACATACATATGTGTATATGTATGTATGGAGAGAGAGAGAGAAAGAGAATCAACCTTTATATGTAAATACCAACCTTTCTTTATATATTTATGAAAATATGTATGTGTGTGTGTGTGTGTGTGTGTGTGTGTATACCATTGATCCCATCATTCTTCTGTCTTCTCCAGCAAATTGCCCCTTCAACAGGCTCGTCTCTCCTACCCTTAAAAAACCCTCTCTAGACTTTATCATTCCTTAAAGTTATCATCCTCTATCTCCTCCCTTTTTACAGTCAAATTCCTAGAAAGAGTTGTCTACACTCCTCTTCCACTCCTCTATTCATTCCTCAACTCTTTCCATTCTGGCTCCTAACTTCTTTACTTAACCGAAACTTCCTTCTCCAAAGTTACCAATGTTCTCTAAATTGCCAGATCTAAAGGCCTTTCCCCAATCCTCATCCTTCTTGCCCTCTCTGTAACCTTTGACTCCCTTCCTTGATACTGTCTCCTATCTGGACTTTCATGACCCTGCTCTCTCTGATTCTCCTTTTGCCTATTTGTGTGCTACATTTGTCTCCTTTATGAGATCATTATCCATATGACTCCCCCTAACTGTGGGTGACACCAAAGCCTCTGCCTTGGGTCCTCTTCTATTTTTACAGCATCTTACTTGGTGACGGCATCAGCTCACATGGATTTAGTTACCATCTCTATTACAGATGAGTGTCAAATCTATATAGCTAATAATTATAATAGCTAACATTTATACAGTGATTTTGCAAAGCACTTTACAAACATTATCTCATTTTATCTGAGTGACAACCCTGGGAGGTAGGTGCTATTATTGTCCCCATTTTACAGATGAAGAAACTGAGGCCTACTGAGGTTACGTCACACAATCTGAGGCTTGATTTGACTTCAAGTCTTCCTGACTCCAAGTCTAGCACTATTCACTGGCCCACCTAGCTGCTTTATCTAAGCCAGTCTCTCTCCTGAGACTTCAATCATACAGCTCCATAAATACCTATCGGGCATTTTGAACTGGAAATCAAACTCAATAGGTAAAAAAACAGAACTATGCATCTCTCCCCTCTCCCAGCCTAACTCTTCCAAACTTTCCTCCTTCTCTTGTAATGCAGAACATTATTTTGCCATTTAGGTAGTCGGGCCCTTCAAGCCATGGAAAGCAAAAGTTGGTGCTTCATCTTGCCCCAGACCTCTTTCCTCCTAAATCTAAACAATAGTGAAATGTACTCTTGCATAGCTCAGCATAGCCCATACCTCCAACGCAAATGGATAAGAAAGCTTGCAATATAATTGCTTTAGATAATTATGTTTATACCACAGACCAGGACACCTGGTCTGGTTTGTGTGATCTCTGATCCCTAATAATGGGGTGCTTGGGTGCTTGTGCTAATATTTTTTACTGACCATTTGCTCTGATCAGAGAAATCTACTATAAAAGGGAAAAGGCAGGGACATGTGACATCCAAATATGACAGGATAGAAAATCCTTAGCTCTGTTTGAATTCAGGTAACAGTTACAGTTCTCCAACCATGCAATATCAATTCCACATCATAGCCAGACTCAGGAATAGTCAGGTGGGAAACATTACTTCTCAAAGGAACACAATGGGGAAACTGAGCCAGGAGGATCCCATCCTAGATTGAGGCTAAGATTGTCCTCACAGCTTTTTCCCAGATGCAGATCTCTACCCGTTAGTAGCTTGTGGCATTTCTCTCAGATACCCATATTCAAACTCAAAACAAAATTAGTTATAGTCCCAAGAGTCTTTTACCCAAAACAGCAAGTTTCACTAACCATAGCTTAAAGCCAGATACAGTTAATATATTCCCATGGAGTTGCAATAAGCAATAAAGATTTACCAGGACTCACATACATAAGAGATTGCACTTAACATCTTTCCTTCTCAAATTTAAACTTGTCCTGGTGTAAAAGCCAATCATTAGAAATCATTTCTATCTACCGTACATAAACTTGTAACTTCTCAGCAAGCCAAGTTCATTGTTAGAAACTCCAAACAAGGTTTTTTTTTGTTTTGTTTTGTTTTTCTTCTCAGAGCAGATGACCTTGCTCACACAGATTTTTTTTTTCAGGGAGCGGGGCAAGTTTACAAAGTAATGGGAATTGCCTTATACCCCAGGGAGGGGCTAATCCTAGTGCCCCTGCCTGCCAACCCCCTTACCCCAAGGAGGATTGTTTTGAATGGGCAGAACCAATCTGGATAAGGCTTTTACCCAATTCCCTCCTTTTCCCACAGCAATCAATTAACAATTCTAGGTTGTAACATTAAAACAGTAATTTCAAATAACTTAGTTATTTGTTAGTTAACAGTCTTATAACTTTCAGAAGTGATAGTCAAATTGTTTTAGCTATAAGCCCTTTTTAAAAACAGATTAAAATTTATCCTGATGTTAAGAAGAATAATCACTAAACTTTTATGAAGAACATTTGTTAGAAATTTTTAAAGTGATAGATATCTTTCCTTTCTACCTTAAAGTAAAAATAAACCTTTAAAAATGGAATTCATTAAAACTAAGTTGATGTAAAATGTCCTCAAGTAACATAAATAACTTCCCAAAGTACCATAACAAACTAAATTCCTAGTTGTTACAGAATTCCTAGACATCACAAAGTTCCTTAGTCAAAAACAGAGAAAAAAATTCAGTTTTTATAATGCGTGAAGAACATTACCACAATAACAAATATTATCAAACCTTTAAAAATTTACTCAGTTTTTATCTCAAGGATTCTCATTTACTCAGGAATTTCACAACACAGGAAACGTTTACACAGATTTGATAAGAATTATAGGTGAAACTTCCTCTTAAAAGCAAATAAAATTTGGAAGTTTATTCTAACCCATTCATTCTCCCCTATTTATTTATTTAGTTTTGGAGGGGTAGACAAAAATATATTCCCAAATGCAATACCCTTGTTAAGCTTAGAAATGTACTGGACCAGTATTGATTGCTTTTTCTTTCTCATAATGACCAGTCTTTAAAAGAACCCACTCGGGGATCTAACCTGAAAGGTGGGTGGACATAATTCCCTCCATCTCTCCTCAAACTGCCCTTACTATGCACTCAAAACAATCCACTTGTCTGAGTTTCCTTCAGTGTACTTAAGTGCAAAACAGTGTAACAAGTTCTGAAATGGAAAACATCACCTTTTTACCAATTTGGATGAGCTGGGGCTGGTGGGGAAACATCTACTAAACCCAGCAAGCCGCAGTCCTCAGCACATACACCAGTTGTCTATGTTCTGGTACACAAGAACTTTTCTCTTTGTCTCCACTCAAACTTGGCCAGAGTTAGAATGCAGAGAGAGAGAAACTATTACTCATGCAAAAGTCCCCAAACCTTCTCACTTTCAAAACCTCCAGCCACAACATGCAACTAAACCATATTCCCTTCAAATTTTCTACACACACTCCTCTCTCCTACATGCTTAAACTTCCTTGCCTTTCTTTCTAATGATTTAAAATCCCCTTAAAACCTGTACATATCTCATTCCTTTCTAATTCTGACCTGACACTTCACAAATCCTTCCCAACTTGCCCTCTACCAACCATATAACCTAAATAATAAAGTATTCTTCTCTCTTTCCCTCTCCCATCCATGCACTCCTTTGAAGCTGCTGTTACCTGGGGACGGAGAGGGGAGAAAGAAGGCAACTTTTCAGAGTCCCGCTGCAGCCTTTGGCTGTCTGGCTGCAAACAACCCAAAAGGGAGGGAAATGATGTACTAGCCGTACCCCCCCCTTATTGCAGAACACAGACACAGACAAACAATAAAAGCCTGAACACAAACACATCCTCCCAATGGAAGTCGGAGGAACTGCCCTGGAGAAAACTGTCTGCAATCCAGTCTGACACCTGCCTTTCAGTATGAAACAGAGGTGGCTTCAGGCAGATGATTGCAAAACAGAATCTCTTAAAAAGACAATCTCTGCACATATAAACTAATAGACCAACACTGAGACAGAAACCAGGAACGAGACACGGGCCCGACAGAACTAAGACAGAAACCAGGAACCAGGAACCGGGTACCAGGAACCAGATACAGGCATAGTCCCGATGTCTCGGGGTGCCTGGGGGATTGAAGCACTAAGTGCTCTGCTGTGTCCGGCACTTGTTCTCCACCAGAAAACAGGTCTGCAGACATTTACCTCCGGAGGGTTACGAGGTCCACGAGGGCTGAAATGAGGTACAGTCGGAGTCGGGGAGGGAGGTTTCTCCTACTCCTGAGTTCTGGGGCCCTGGAACACCATCAGGGGCCAGCTCCCCTAAAAGTCAGAACAGAACAATTCCCCCCTCCCAAGGCCAAAGTCCTTTCCAGGTGGGTCTCTGCTTCGACACTGTACGCTGCTGTCTCGCTGGGGCCTCCAAAATGTTGTACTGAGAAATCAGCGAGCGAGACCCAGACATAATTTAAAATGTGGATTTATTAGCACGCAGCTGCCAGGGGTATGCAGCCCCGATCAGGGGTCGAGCTAGGGTTTATATGGAAAAGAGCATGGGAAAGAAATTCCAGGAGCACTGATGAGGTAATCCAAAAGTGCAGGTGTCTTTGGGGGCTATGGATGGGAAAGTACAGGGAGTATACCAGACAGGGAGGGGGATGGATCTTTGGAGTCTGGCAGGAGGAAGAGTCCTTGGGCTGGCCAAGGACACCCCTCCCCCTCTGTCTGGATGAGAGAATGCTCTGCAACAAGGAAAAGATTTCTCACAACACAGGAACTTACTGAAGAATTGGGAGGCTTCCAGAGACATGATCTGAGGCCTGGGGCCTGAGCAGCCCAGCTCTGTGTAGCTGTACCAGGGAGAGAGATAAGGGTCATGCTGAGGCCCATGCATGAATAACTGCTAGGCACAGTGTCCTTGGGCTGGGGAATGGTTGTTAGAGACAGTGTTCCTGAGACTAGGGAGAAATTTGGGCACAAGTACAAGCACAAGCACCCAAGCACCCCATTATTACGGGTCAGAGATCACACAAACCAGACCAGGTGTCCTGGTCTCTGGTATAAACATAATTATCTAAAGCAATTATATTGCAAGCTTTCTTATCCATTTGTGTTGGAGGTATGGGCTATGCTGAGCTATGCAAGAGTACATTTCACTATTGTTTAGATTTAGGAGGAAAGAGGTCTGGGGCAAGATTAAGCACCAACTTTTGCTTTCCATGGCTTAAAGCGCCCTACTACCTAAATGGCAAAATAATGCTCTGCATTACACCAGGCACTAGAGTAAGCACTCCAAATCCCAAGAAGGACAAAAACAAAAACAAAAACAAACCCACTGTCCTTGCTCTGAAGGAGCTCTCAGTGTAATGAGGGATACAACATGCAAACAACTGTGTAGAGACAAGCTATATACAGGATAAATTGGAGATAATCTCAGGGTTTCAAGGCTCAGCTCAAGTGCTGTCTTCTACTTGCAGTCTTTACTGATCTCTTCCCCTCCCCTGCCACCTCCACACAGGCTAGTGCCTTCCCCATAAAATTATCTTGTATTTGTCTCTATTTTGTATATGCCTATAAATGTATGTACATATGTGTGTACATATTATCTCCTCTCTCTAAATTGTAAGTTCTTGGAGGGCAAAGCACTGTTTCATTTTTGTATTATGTCCCCAGGACCTAGCACAGTGCATGGCACTTAATAGGTGCTTAATAAATGCTTGCTGGTTTGTTGACTGATTGATTCTTTATGATTCTGAAGAGTGAATGCCTAAGGAATAAGAAGCAGCTTTTTTTCTACTTACTCTGAATACAGGACAAGGGGGACGGACTAAGGTTCCCATTGCAATAATAAAAAAAATCAAACTTAGACGAGTCCTCTCATTACCGGGCTACCCTGTCACTAGCACCTAAATTAAGAAATGCACCTAGATGACAGCTAGAAGTTAGCCTAAGGATTCAGGCACTCAGAACCACTGACTGAGAAAAGGTACCCTGAGGGGAGGGTCTGTGGATAATGGTGGGCTGAAGCAATAGCGGGGCTGCTGGCAAGTCCTTCAGATTTCCCAGTGTCTCTGTGCAGTCCCTCTCTGGGAATAGCTTGGCATTGGCCAAAGGGCATTCTTTGTACCCCATCTCCTATTCCTAATTTAACCAACCTTAGTGTCTCAACCTTAGGTACCAACACTCCATCCCCTTCTCTAAGACGCTAAGTCCTTATATATTTTTCCTCTCTGCTCTGATTCTTCCTTTCTATCACCATAGCTACGACCCTGATCTGGGGCCTTGTCACCTCAAGCCTAGTCAACCGTGACAACCTCCTTCTGGCCAGGTTATCAATTAAACAGGTATTTATTGATGGTTTACTAGTGGTACCAGGCACTGTGCTAGGCCCTGAGATATTAGTACACATGAACAAAGAAATAAATAGACACTCCCTCAAGGAGCATGTTATATTCTACTGGAATTGGGGAAGGGTTCAGTTCGGACTTGGAACTAAAGGAAGTTAGGGAAGCCAGAAGATGGAGATGAAGAGGGAGCTTGATCTAGGCTTGGGGATGTTGCAGCCCTTGGAAAATGCCCCAAAGTTGGGGGTTTAGGTACAGTAGGAGGCCAGTGTACCTGGGTAGCAGAAGATGAGGTAGGGGAATAAGTTGTAAAAAAGATAAACGATGAACTGGAGATACAAAGAAAAATGAAACTTACACTCCCGGAGCTCACAGTCAAATGGAGGAGGCAACAATGCAAAAACTATGGCCAAATGAGACAGACAGGTTAAACCAGGGATAATCAAAAGAGAGAAGGCACTAGCATTAAAGAGAACCAAGAAAGCCTTCTCCTAGGGCAGGCCTGCACAATATACCGTCCACTGTGAGCCTAAGGATTTGGGGGGGGGGGCCCTGGAAAATGTAGGGTTGCTACTGGGCACTCTCCTGTTTGTTATATAACCCACAGCAACCAACCATGGTCAGTCTGTCTCTGGGCTTACCTATCTGTGGTCCAAAGAAGTTTAGCCTATTTTAATTTTGGCTTCTACCTTCTGCTAAGTTGTGCAAGTCTATCCTGGAGGAAGATGAGAGAGTATGCATTCAGAGGTGTTATGCCTCTTGTTCCTAGGAGATAAGATTTTTATTTAGGACTTCCCTTCAAAGCTGCTCCTCAGAACTTTTCCCCAGCAACCAGGGTGAGGCTGGAAAGGGGTCACAAATGCTCCCTTCTCCCTGGGGCAAGGGGGGGGGGATGGTCGGTGGGGAGGGGGCGGCAGGGAGAAGACTTAAAAGAGGAAGTCTTATTGGCCCTGAGTGAGAAACCGGATCCCTCCTCTTCCCACCTGTACCCTCACCCTGCAGCTCTGGGTGAAAGGTCTGATGGTCCCAGTTCCACCCCAGGGTGAATGTTTGGGGTAGCCAGGTCTAGGCCTGGTTTGGGCCCAGAAGACCCTCCTCGCCCCGGTGGCCAGGTCTGGGCCTGGTTTGGGCCCAAAAGATTTTCCCCACTCCACCCCCCAGGGTAACTATTTGGGGTAACCAGGTCTGGGACTGGTTTAGGCCCAGAAGACCCTCCCCACTCCAACCCCCAGGGTGAATATTTGGAGTAACCAAGTCTGGGCCTGGTTTGGGCCCAGAAGACCCTCCCCATTCCCACCTTTGGGATGAATCCTTGGGGTGGCCAGGTCTAGGCCTGGTTTGGGCCTAGGATCCCTCTTTTCCTGGTGTGTGTGCGTTGGGGGGGAGCTGTGATTATTTGGGGAGGGGAGCAGGAGCCTATCCTTCCCACCCCCATCCTCTTAGTGAAGGGTCTGGTGGGCCCACCCCCACTCCCAGTGTGAATCCTTGGGGTGGCCAGGTCTGGGCTTGGTTTGGGCCTAGGATCCCTCTTTCCCTGGGGGAAGGGGGTGTTGGGGGGTGGGGCTGTGATTATTTGGGGAGGGGAGCAGGAGCCCATCCTTTCCCACCCCCACCCTCTGGTGGGCCAGCCCTGCCCCAGGGTGAATCCTGGGGGGGGGGCAGGTGTGGGCCAGGGTCCTGCTTTCACCGAGGGGGGAGTAATTAGGGAGGAGAGCAGGAGCCGCCCCCCACCTTACAGGATGCAAGGCATGCTGGGAGCCGGGCACTTCCTCATCAGGCAGCTCCGGAGGAAAACCAAAGGGTGACAGAGGCTGCTCGTGGGGGGCCCACGGTCAGACAAGGACAGGAGAGGGTGGTCATCAGCAGGCTGGGACAGGGATGGCTGAGCGCTCAGGCAGCAGTGCGGGCCTCCTGGCCAAGCAGATGCAGAAGAAGTTCAGCCGGGCCCAGGAGAAGGTATGTGGGCGAGGCCTCCTCCATATCTGCCCTGGGGAGGAGGGAGGAGGGGCACCTCCTTCACCGGGTCCTGACCTTTCACCCTCTCCATTATCTTTTACTATTTTTCACAGATTTGGGGCTAGAATGGGCCTTATCTTAACACCTCCCCTCCTCCTTCTTCATCGTTTTACACATGAGGACACTGAGGCCCAGGGAGGGACATGACTTTCTTCCCTCCTCCCCATGTCCACCCCACCCCTACCTGCCAAGTTTGCCTAACGGGAAAGGGGAGAAATCTCTAAGGTCCTTTTTCCTAACCCTGAAATCCAGGCCCGTAAAGGTACAAGTGGAGTAGATGTGGCAGAAACAGAATTCAAATCCAAGTTCCCACCACCACCCCCCAAATTGGTATTCGAATCCAGGTCCTCAGACTCCCCAAACAATGCCCTCTCTGGCCCTTCCAGAAAGGAAGAAGAAGCACTTTCTAGAGATAATCTCCTTTGTTGAATGGATGAGGTGGTTGGACCCTAAACGTCCTGGTGGTTCATAAGATTTCAGAGCTGGAAAAGACCATAAAAATCGTCCAATCGATTTCTCCATTTTGCAGATTACGGAGCCACTACCAGCAGAAGGGCTCTGGTAGATTTTGAACTAGAAAGTGACCACATCTAGTCAAAGTATGGTCCAGGAAGCCCTAGGGCTCCCCAAGACCCTTTCAGGACAGCCTTGAGGTCAAAATTATTGTCCTAACACTAAGGTGTTTTCATTTCAATTAGGTTCAATATTGATAGATATCTCTTACCTAAACAAATGCTCTTCTCAATCATTTTTAAGATTATAAAAGGGTCCTAATTTCAATTAGGGTAAATACTGATAGGTATGACCCACTTATCTTTAAGAATGTAAAAGGGTCCTAATCTCACTTAAGATCAATATCGATAGGTATGACCCACCTAAACGGAAACTCTTTTCAATTATTTTTAAGAGTATAAAGGGGTCTTAATTTCAGTTAGGGTCAATGTCAATAGATATGAACCCCCTAAAAAACAGAAGCTGTTCCCAATTACTTTTAAGAGGTTAAAGGGGGTCCTAATTTTAAATAAAGTAAATATCAATAGATTTGACCCTACCTAAACAAAAGATCTTCTCAATCATTGAGTGTAAAAGGGTCTTAATTTTAAATAGA